GTCTGTTCAACTACTGCAAATATCTCACTAAGCCATCTGAACATTTCAATATAAACGTAACTTCTGCTGTTTTGCTATCTAGAACAAAATTTGCCTTAAAGGATAAAATTTTCTGTAACGTGGTTTAGGTTATACGGTCAGAGAAAGACAAGTTTGACACACATAATCATACTGTGCAGTCCACCGGAACAGCTCATGAAATAAGACATTACACAGAGCAAATATGAGCCAAGTTTATTTCACTCCTAAACTGTTGCTTCCCAGGCCAAGCACAATGTTTTCTGTCAAGCACCTACATCGCATGGATTCCTGAAGAAAACACAAACAAAAAATTCTCCACCTACCCTCGCACCCATGGGGGGTGTTTCTGGATACATTCAATGCATATCCTTCTGGTATTCCACCTGTTTTCTCAGACCTATCATGTACATCTCCATCAAGAAATTACCAAGCCATACAAAACTGTACATCACTAGAAGTGCTAAACAGCAGAGTCTGAAAGCATATTTCAACATATGATTTTTCTATGCCAATTTTTACTACATTTCAGAGCAGTATTTCAAGATGTTTGGATACCTGAATACAAGGATCAATGTCCTTTTGGGATATTCAGAAGCATACGGCTACCTATTGAAATATATTGAAACATTTTTTAACATCCTGCTTTGCATACCCATCTAGGATGCTTTTTTAAAACTGGTTCTTTTGCTATGGTACTTCAGAAGGAACGTAGCCATGCCAAGTTTTAGAACAGTGCAGAATGAGTATCCATTTCTAATCCCTCTTGCCCATCCATATAATGACTGAAGATTTAGCTCAATGACCTATTATAGACAATAATCACAAGCTTATGGTGACTGACTTCTTGAATACTCAATTCCTAGTTTACTTTCCAAAATCCAAGCAAAGCAAATTAAGACTCTGCATTCAACCAATTTCTTCTGTTAGATTTTTTTAGATTTTATTTATTCCAATTAATTTAGGTAGGAAGCAAGACTCGGGCTTCTAATCTGTAAAGACATTACTCAGCTACCGCTAGAAATCACATTTTCGCACATTGCCGTTGCTTCACACCTATCAAAATTGTTGATCATAGTAGGTCAGATAATAAATAGTTCTTTAGACATACACACACGTGCATGTGTAATTACCTGCATAAATTCCCAAATAAAAGTTAAGGTCTAGATGTTCATTCTCATTTGCTCCATTATTCCCACTTGTTGTGACATTCAACTTTTCTTGATGATTTGCCCTGTGGAAATGCATACAGAAGACAGCGATCATCAAATCACATTCTGCAAATATTCATGAGTACATTTAACTGTTTCTAGGTTCAACTCTGCTGAAATCTTTAGTTCAAAAGATCCCACATCCTGATGGTGTCATGCATCACACCATGAGTAGAAGCAATCACAGGCTACACTCCAGCACAAAGTTTAATTTTTTTTCCTCACACAAAATGAGTGGAGATCAGAGAAAGACCAAGCATATTCTGAAGCTTCCTAGAACAGGTTTCCCCCACCACCACCTATACACCACTGATTTCTATTAGACAAACAGCACTTCACTGAAAAGGGAGAGATGACTGACCAGTCATTATCATCAACTTACCAGTAAGAAAGCCACCAGTCCTGGAGCACATATGCCACCTTGAGTAAAAGAGGCAAATAAAAGAATCATCTTACAAAATTTAAAAAAATTAGAAAATTACATTTCCTCGCTGTTCTTTCATGCTCTCTGGGAAAACATCACATATTCATGAAAGTATGCCATCCAGTCTTTCAAGACCAGCAGCAATTTGCAAAGCACATTGGAAGGTGCATTAGAACCCTCTACAAAGAAAGAAGTTACCTTAAATTACCTTACATGATAGCAAACTAAAAGGAAAGCAATACACTTAAGCAAACAAAATACAGTAGCTCTTCTTAATGTATGTTAATTGCACATTAAAGCACTCATTTTTTCAGTTCCTAAATTTGCTACTAGAGATATTCCAAAATGCTTTTTGATTAACAAACTTTCTGATGTTACCAGTCCAGAAATTTGTGTTTACGGGAGATAATTACCAGAAACAGGGTTGAAGGAGGATGAGAGAAGAGAGGGAGGGAAAAACTCCGGCTGCCACCTTCCTTCTGTGCCGAGAGGTGACTATAAACTTGTTACAGGGTTATTTATCTCAAAATACACCTCTGTTCACGTGAATTTAAAGTACTGGGCGGTCTATTGCAGAGATTTGATCTTGCTCAGCTACCTTTCCAACAGACTCAATTCAAGGACAAGCAAAAAGGAAGTAACATGTCTAAATATACAGACTATCTTTTACTGCCAAGACCAATCATTTCCATGAAATGAATTTAAGCTTTCTCAGCACGAAACAGAGAAAAAGGCAATAAGCTATCTTCACGCAGCTTCGTCAGCTCAACATTTCTTTCAGGAAGTTTCAAAATCACTTTCCTTGCTTAAGAATTCTTTTACATACCTGCTACAGTGCGCCCTGTACACAGTAATTGCCTATCCTCTTCCTCACTTTCTTATTCTGCTAAACAGTGACCCTCCTTCTAGCCCTTCTCATAACCTGCAGTTACCAGCAGATGAGCTTTTCTTTTAACACTTCTGTCAGACTCTGTCCTTCAATACCCAGTAAATCTCTTTACCCTCCTCAACTGGAAACATAGTGACTGTTCAGGTTTGTTAAACACTACTTTATACACCTTACGATTTTGTTTGCTATCTCCAAAAATTAGACTGGCTTATAATCTCTATGCCATGCTGCCAGTAAAATAATTATTTTACTAAAGTATTAAAACTGTTGAAAAAAGGACCAGTGCAGGACCTCTCAATGCTACACCAAAGCCCCATGCTGATATATAAAATGTGATCGAGTATACTACAAAACTATTAAAGACCATGCTCCCAAACATTTTAGATGAAACATCACAGTAAGAAGCATACACTATGTTAAAAAGAAAAAAAGAATGCAAACCCAAACACATTCAGTATTATTTGCTGCTTCCAACAACTTACCTGTGCCAAAATATTGAATACTAGAAGTATAAAAATCACAAAGTAGTTTGCTCCTGCAGTGAAATATTTTCTGTAAACCTTAAAGTTTATTTTTCCCTCAGAGCGACTCTCCTCTGGCACTGCAGCCAGTGCATTTTCAGCCTGGAAAAAAAAAAAAAAAAAAAAAGAATAAAAACCATCAACCTTGCAGTTACAGATTCAGACTATGCCACTTGAAAGTCATGGTTCAGAATTAGCAAACAAATAAGGAGATAAAGTGATTACGCATATAAAAAACTTTAAATATTGGAACTATAAGCTTTGACAAAAAAAATTAGTCTCAGTGCAGTACTACTGAAAAATCTACTCTGCAAAATGACACTGTGAGGATTTTATTTTGCATTGCATCATAGAATGTAACATGACTTCACTTAGAGCCAGAAATATTTACTCTAACTGACCACTAAACCAGGTTTTTCTTTTCTTATATACTGCCTTCAGATATAACAGCTCTGGAAACTGAGACATTGACTTGGGAAAGACTCTGTTTTCAGAATAGAAGCATGTGTAAACTTTCCTTTTTCAGAAAAGTATTTAAAGTAAATATTCTTCTGCAAGTATGCACCAAAATCAATCCACGATATGCCCAGTGTAACAAATTACCTACAAAGTTCTAATCACCTCCTTGTAAGCACCAACAAAGCAACTGTTAATAGGGAAAACAAGTAAAATGACAAACAAGTAAAATGACAAGTAAGAAATCATATTAAGCAAACAATGGATGGGGGACAATGAAAGACAGAAAAGGAAAAAATGAGAGAGGCATAAAGAAAAAAACTATTCAAATGAACAAAAATCTGATTTTTTAATTTATTTTTTTTTTACAGTATATGGGATAGAAAAACTAGTGCCAGTTCAGTGGACACATAACACTTGATCTTCTTGTCAGCAGACATGGCTCTACAAGAGCAGGGAATGAACAGACCTGACTCAGATGTGAAAGGAGAAATCCCACCTACCCACCCATAAAAGAAGAGAAGTCTATCTTGGTTTTTTGTTTCTCCAGGCCCCTGCCCCACCCCAACAGCTCCAATGCTGCTAAAAAGTTTGGCTGGCACACCTTTGTGGATTTAATCGTGGTGTCACCACTGCAACATTAATAATATCAATTAAGTTTACTGCTTTTGGGCATAAAACCATTCCTCCAAAAAGGTACGAAAAAGTCCGTAGTAGTTGGGGGGGGGTGTTTGTTTGGTTTGTTTTTTTGTTGTTGGTTTTTGGTTTGTTTTTTTTTTTAAATCTCACTGGTTTTCATTATAGAAAAGAAAAAGAAATAGTATATACCCATAGCATAAAGGTGACAATCGTCAGGGAAATGCAGGGATTGCTGGTTCCAATTGTTCCACGTGTTCCCGGGATGCAGAGCTAGCAGAAGTCTAGCAGGATTTTGGGGCTCCTGTGCTGTTTTATGTGAATGCAAACGCACTAGCAGAAAGCCACCTCTGGTGCAGGAACCTTAGAGCTACTTTTGCACTATGCAGACCAAGAGATAACAAGGCACCTGGAAGTCAAGCTGGCACCATACAAAGCGTTCTGTTTTCACCAACAGAAGGGCTGGGGAGAGCAATGCAGTGGTGTCCCAAGGTTACCCCCTCAGAGCCAGCTCAAGACTATGTGGGAATGTTAATGCCAGCCATGCAAATGTAGACTTTGTATAAAGCCATTGCTTCTGCATGCAATTCCCAGAACTCAGGATTTCAGGGAAAGGGCTAATTTGAGTCCAGCACTGCACAAACACACAGAACCCACCCGATACAGTAGTATTGGCACTTTAAAGCACGTCTGTCAGAGGACAGGATGAAGGAAGCACAGTGAGGTGTCTTCTGACAGCTATAGGAATGCTTCCTGCATCCTTTTTGAACCGGAACAAACTCACTCTCCTGGGTTTGAGCAGAAGAGCACAGAGCTGCGAGATGCCTGCCTTCTGCAGCCCAGGTGACAGGACTGCCAGCCAAGCACAGCGCTGGGCAGACCCACCGCAGGCGAGCTACTGCAACCCAACTGCTAACGCGATCCAACAGTCCCCGAAATCCAAATGCAGCAGGGAAAGCCCTTATCGAAGTTTTAAGTTAAAAAACAGACAGACAAGAATTGAGACACGTCTATCCTTTGAGCACTCACAGGTAGTTGTTCCACTGCTCCATCTTTCTGTGAGTGGACAGAAGACTCCTGGGACCAGACAGAGGACTCCGAGAAGGTTCGGCTCCTGGAAGACTTCAGGTTGGGGGTTCCTGGAACCGATGGCTGTTCTACCTCCTCATTTTTTTCCAAAAGGGAAGCAAAGTTGATGCCAGATCTCAGGAACTCTGAATAGGTACCTTTCCCCACCATTTTGCCCTACAATTAACATAAACTTTGATTATCTTCATTATACACTTTCTGTAAAGGACCATTTTTCCTTTCTATTCTTACTGCCTCTGGGATTCTGCAGTTGCTGAGCAACATCCCCCTGCAGTAACTGAGTTGAAGTCTCTAGCTATCAGTTTCTCATTTAGAAGAGCAGAAACAAGCTCTTCACCCTCTAACCAGTCCCTTCCCAGTAGCTAACCAGGACAAGGAGCATACAAGTGGGATGACAATAGTCCCAGTTACAGCCAGGTGAGAATTACCTCCTCGGAGCAGCTTCAGGAGACAGCCATGCAGCTTTAGGACAAGCTGTTGAACTACATAAATAATCATCAATCTTTCTGTATTACTCCAGGCTAGGGGTAAACAGCAGCTTAATTTTCTGGTCCTCACAGAGCTCTACAAGGAGGAACACAAACCATTTCCACACTTCTTACAGCTCTAACACAAACTCTTTCCTAGAAAGCTACTGTAACGTTTAGAGAGATCTGAAGGGGAGGAAAAAGACAGCCAGTGTCCTTTTGCGCAACTGTGATACATCAAAACTAATTCGAAGTACTTCGCTACCCAACCTTAAAAAAAACCAAAACAAAACAAAAACTCAGCTGAAGTTCTTGCATTTCCTCTCTATTCATGAATATCTGGTACAACAAAGTTTGGAAGGAACCAGTTTCGCTGAAGGCCTGCTCATTCTCAAAGGTATCTCTGACCATTTCTCATTGTTAATTTAAAAAAGGGACTGGTTGCAAAATCAACATAGTTCCTAATTCACACAAAAGTGTAAGAAGCAAGAATAAAAGCAAAGGATTAACATAGTCTCAAAATAAGTAATTCTCTCACAGTATATTATACACATTTAAGACAAAAATCAGTATGTAAGATTTCGTACACGCATGACAAAATTCAGAAACAGATTTTTCAGGGAAGGTATTCTAAGAAAAAAAATCAACTTATTTCATTAAGAATTATAAATCTTTAGAAACATATATGGTCATTAGTAGATAGAAAATGTATTCACAAACCAAAAATAAAAATCTTTAACTGGTTTTTTATTCATTCTTAGATTAAAAAGCATAATTAGAAAGTATGTGAAATACAAAAGTACAGACACTGAAATCACTTACGTCTTTTAAAATTAGGATCTGATTTGCAGCACGGAGATATTGCAACTGGTGAGTGACCAAAACGGAGATCTTCTGATGTAAGGCCTGACAAATACATCTGCAAACAGATGGCAAAATTAATTATAAAATGAAGTGTCCCAAAACATTTTGACTATTTCTGGAAAATGCCTTCCATTCAATTATACAGTGTCGAAAATAAGAAAAAAAAATACTAGATTTATAAAAAAAAAATTACACTTAACAAACATGTTCCTTATTTAACTTTCTAAGTTTTCTACACAGGGAAAGGAAATCTCATATTTCTGGTCTGGGGTGGAAAAGGAGGAAATATCTTAAGGACATTTTATTAAAATTGTCTTAAACATCCTCCTAACAAATGTACATGTCATAAGTTGAATTGCAAAGAGGGTATTTAACAAAAATTGAACTAATGGAAAGAGAAAGCAGGGCAACATATCATGGACAATTATGTAAAAATAAGCCAATAAAAGTAACTTCTTTGAGATGAGCTTTCAGAGCAGCTGTAACAGTAAGAGTTGTGGAGAAATACATAGTATTACTGATCCAAGTATGTATTGAGGTAGAGGAGTGAGATCCTTCAACGATCTCTAAACTTCTCCCATGGAATCAGGGCTTATCTTCCCCTCCAGCACCTTACCTGCTTACCCTAGAGGCGAGGCTTCCCCAGAAGTTTGGGATTTGGAGAGAGAGAAGTGAAGAAGGGACTGAGCACACCAGAACCTGCCAGCAAGTGCAGTCCCAATCCCAGACAGCTTTAGCAGAAAAGATGTCTGATATCTTTTCAGCAGAGCCTTGAAAGGCAGCCAGAGCAAAAAAAAAAAAAACAACAACCAAAAACATAGCGGTGCAACAGTGGTTGACAAGCACACTCTTCATGTACAACAGGGACAGCACAGACACAACTGAGTATCCAACACTACCAACACTTTCATTGCCTTTATCCCCACAGCAACACAGCAGAGAGACAAACCCTGCAAGAGGACAGCCCTTTCTCAACTACTCAGTATCTTAAGAAAACGAGGAAAACTGATATTGTCTAGAACTGAAGTCCAGTGAAGGTCTATATATTAGCATTTTCCATTTGGATCAGGAATGCCTTTTTGAAGATT